AGTTTTCAGGTAGCTGTCTTAACAGCTCTTCATTAAGTCTTTACTTAAAATGGCTTAAAAGAAGATACTACCCCATTTTTCCCCTGGAAGCCTTGATGCTGTAAGTTAATAGGCAAATGTTTTGAGTAGGAAGGAGGAATGCTGATGCTGATTGGCTTTATTACTGCACCTAGCTGCCTTTTGAAAAAGCTTCTGAGGACTACTTTTAATTAGAAGGAGATTTTGTAGGATCTTCTAGATGTTTAACAGCAGATGATCTCACTCTAATGAGTCTTAATTATCTGCATAATATTTTTGTAGTCCCCTCCTAAACTTTGTCTTCTGTGTAAAATCATTTGGTTTATATGTAGTATGGGTATTTCTTATGCCTAACCACTGAAAATAAGTTAAAATGGATTGGAATCTTGTTAAATGCTAAGCTCTTTTTCCAGCTTTTGTCTTTTTTTGGTCAAGTCTTTTGTTCAAAGGTTTGTAATAGCATTTCTAAATAGTGAAGGAATGGATTATTTGTCATTGTTGATTGCTGCCATTCACTTCAAAAATATACTCACGTTTAAGCTGTTGTGTAATTTTTAATTGGAAGCCAGCAGCTCTCTCATGAGTAAGAAGTCCTTCAGGCTCTGTATTGGTTAGCAAAAATGAAGAGTTCTTGATTACTTAGTTGAGTTATTGCAGACTTTTTCATGGTTGCAAGAGTGCAGATATACAAAATGTCTGAATCCAAGTTAACTGGCTATTATATCTAGGCTGCTTCTTGGAATAAAAGTAAGGTAGCAAATAGAAGTTCAAGAACACTAGTTTTCATTGTGTGGTGGCTTAGGTTTTTTGTCATCCTACAGTATCACAGAATGTTGGGGATTGGAAGGAACCTCAAAAGGTCATCTAGTCCAACCCCCCTGCCAGAACAGGATCACCGAGATGAGATCACACAGGAAGGCATCCAGGTGGGTTTTGAATGTCTCCAGAGAAGGAGACTCCACAACCTCCCTGGGCAGCCTGTCCCAGTGCTCTGTCACCTTCACCAAAAAGAAGTTTCTTCTCAAGTTTAAGTAGTTTGAGGTTTCTTAAAGTGTAAACTTTCTTGCTTTATTTTTTTTACTGTAACTTAAATAGCTCTATATTTCAGCACAGTGGCCTCTGTGCTAAGGTAAACAGCTTATACAAGGATAATCACACTCAGAATGCAGAGCTTTAATACTGATGGCAATTTCCACACTAGAGTTTAACAATAAAACAGGGGTGTGGGAAGCACTCCAGTAAGTAGAACTGAGTCCTTTGTAAACCAGGCCTGACTGTGCTCATGTAATGAGAAAATGTTCAGATTTTTGTTTCCTAAGAAAACTTCAGACTTAAATAAAATTTTCCCCTTAATTTATCATGTTAAAAGGACAGGAAACTGTTGTGTATAGGCTGGATGTGTAGTGTTTGGTGGTAATTATGAGTGTGTTTGAAGACAAAAAGCTCTCAGAATAAATGAAGGGTTTTTTTTGTTTGGTTTTGTTTTTTTCCAAAATTGAAATATTTTGTGGATTTTCTAAAAAAACTTGTGATAACCTGATCTAGTGGGGGGTGTCCCTGCTCGTGGCAGGGGGTTGGAACTAGGTGATCTTTAGGGTCCCTTCCAACCCAAACCATTCTATGAAAATATAGGGTTATTGTGGTAGGGGCTGACTTGCTTTTGCCCCGTGGAAAAGATTGAGTAAGTGTTGCATTTATGTAAAACAGTGGTGCATAAATAACAGACCAAAAATCCTGCCTTAAAGGTGACCTTGTGAGGTTAAGAAAAATACTAGGTACTGCTTATTCTCTGTGTACTTAACAGGTTTGAGTTCTCATTTCCTGTCCTTGTTAGAAATTTTATAAAATGTCTGGGCCTTAATTTTTCCAAAGAAAGATAATGCACGTATGTGAGAGTAAGTACGTGCATAGGGAGGAGCATGTGAGAGCTGGCATTTTCCTCAGGAACAGAGAAGGGTAGATAGCAGAATTCCACAGCTTTAATAGAGGCTTCTTTGTTTACTATGTAGACATCTTACACTCTTAGTTTATTCCAAGTTTTTTTCCAATTTTGCAGCTTCTTTTTTTTAGTCCTAAAGAAGAAGGTAGCCTTATATAGTGCATTCCACTAAAACTTACTGCAATAAAAAAAAAATATCCAGGATGCAACAATCTTCTGTTTAACACTTGAAAATAAGTGGTATCTCCTACCATGAATTGTGCTTTGATGAAGTGAAAGTAGGAACCTATCTTCCTGTATATACTGACAAGAGGTGTTTTAGTCCAACTTGCATGGAGTTAACTTTTAACTTACTGATGTAAAACTTACCTATCTGCCGCCATTCCAGAGGAAAACAGCAATACTTTCTTAGTTACCAGAGGGTGTAGGCCTCACATTTAACAGTAATTGTTATAAATGTTTTTAGGACTTCCAGTGAGAACATTCAAATGGATCTTTTCACCTGGGGTTCTAGGATCTACAAGATTCTTGATCTGCAGAAAAATCCAGTGAACTTACAGCATCTTTAGATGCAGCATATATGCCTTGTGCAAAAGTTTTATTCCTTATTACTTCACTTGAAGAATTAGATTGGTTGCTTATGGCTATGAAGAGAACATAGGCTGACTGGGATAATGCACCAGTTTATGTCCATTGCAAACTGAGATAAGTCATTCTTCAGGGTCTCTTAGGAACAATTAACTCACAGCAGCTCTCAAAAGCATCAGTTTGTGAAACAATGTAAGAAATGTTGATTTGACCCTGTTCTGTAGTCTCAATCTTGTATTGATTTGTTCTGTGACAAAATGAACAAGAGCTTTAAATACTAGCACCAGATGTAACAATGTGTTAGCATTTTGAAGAATTTGGAATTTCTGGCAGAAGATTACAAACCTGAGTAGGCAATGCTACTTAACTCACCATAGATCTTGTTGTTGCTACCTTGGACTTTTTTTGTAGCTTCATGCATTTTCCAGCTGTGCTGCCTAAGGAGCCTCATTTTACATAAGGTATAGTTGCACATACTTTTCTCAAGCAGCCTTCTGGTAGTTCAGCATGACTCACTGTAAGCCAGGTATGGGCTGCTTCAAAAGAATCATGACCAGCAGGTCAAGGGAGGTGACTTTACCCCTCCACTTCACTCTTGTGAGACCCCACCTGGAGTACTGCATTCAGCTCTGGGGCCCCCAACATAAGAAGGACACGGACCTGATGGACCGAGTCCAGAGGAGGACCACAAAGGTGAACAGAGGGTTGGAGCACCTCTGCTATGAGGACAGGCTGAGGGAGTTGGGGTTGTTCAGCCTGGAAAAGAGAAGGCTCTGAGGAGACCTTATTTATAGCAGCCTTACAGCACCTGAAGGGGGCCTACGAGAAAGCTGGGGAGGGACTTTTTACAAGGGCATGTAGGGGTAATGGTTTTAAACTGAAAGAAGGTAGGTTTGGATTAGACATTGGGAAGAAATTTACTGTGAGGGTGGTCAAACACTGGAACAGGTTGCCCCTGTAGACACTGCCCAGAGAACAGGTTGCCCCCTCCCTGGAAGTGTTCAAGGCCAGGCTGGATGAGGCTTTGAGCAACCTGGTCTAGTGGAAGGGGTCCCTGCCCACAGCAGGGAGATTGGAACTAGATGATCTTTAAGGTCCCTTCCAACCCTAACCATTCTGTGATTCTATTATATGAATTGGATTGGTGCCTGATCTGGTTGGGAAATTTATTTTTCAGATTGGTCAGCTCTACATTCTGGTTCAGTGCATAAGCATTTCTTCTAGAAGAGCATAGTAGATGTTCCTTTAAACAAGTGGTGAGGGAGGGAGAAAAGAGGGAGCACTTAACTGCTTTAGTAGTACAAGTGTCAAATGTCTACTATAGCCTTATTCATCTGAGGCACAAAAAAAGTGATCTTGGTTATAGTAAAGAATACTTAAGTGATTAGCATAGTAGGAACCAAATTCTTTTGTCAGTTCCTTTTGGGAATTTAAGCAGAAGGCAGAGATACCAGATGAAGCAGGTTGAAGGTGAATATACGACTGAGGTTACTGTTGCATGTGTTTCTTGGTAGTCTTCCAGTACTGAAGTTTTTATTTGAAATAGTCTTTGAGGCTAATGTCGCATTGTTGTATGTTGACAGACTAATAATTTTGACAGGGAGGAGAACCTGCCTGGTACCTGTTAAGGGCACATGTGATATGATATACTTAGTTTCTGTTGCAGGATAGAGTCAAAAGTACATGGACTGAAAATAGCTTTATACACTACTCTATGCTATTAATGTGTGGTGTTTTTTAAAAGAAACTCTAGGTGATAAATGGATTTCTATTGCTTTACCACAAAAATAATGAGGTTCAAAATCTCTCCTATTTTATTATTTTCATGTCAGAAAAACATGAATTTTAAGTAACTGATTTTTATAGCTCAGTTGTCACCATACTGTAGCTGTATTGTGTAAATATATATGGATAGTAAATACCTGTGGGTATTTACTATCCATATTTACAGCTGTAGAGGAAGATGTAGGTCTTATTTAAGCATGCAGCTTAGTTGATGGCTATTGGAGCTATTTAGCTGAAACTTATGTCACTTTTATAAGCAGTAGCCTATAAAATTCTCATGCTTTAGCATCTATAAAACAGACATAATCCGTACATTTTGCAGGCAACATACATCGTATTTGCTCTGTGAAAGTGATAATGTTTTCACCGAGTAAAGGAATTTCCCTTCAATGCAAGTTATAAGAGTTCTGTCTTAATTCAAAAATGCATTGTCAAGCAGTATTCTTAATATTATGAAACGGTTGTATTTCAGTTACTGCTGTTTTACTTTTCCCACTGGGAAGTTAGTCTTAGCAGTAAATGGCTTTTCTCTTATTTCAGTTTTGCTCTCAAACAGTCTGATGCTTCTTTTTCTTGATGCATATCTATTTTTATTTCTAGGCCTTTCTTAAAACTTTCCATGTCTAAATGGACTCCTGAATGTAATATAGTTTATACCCTAAAAGCGGATATGAAGAGTGAAGTTCCTTCTGATGCACCAAAGAGACAGGAGAGTCTGAAGGGGATCCTCTTGAACCCTGAGCCTATTGGGGCAGCCAAAAGCTTCACTGCAGAAGTTGAGATGATTGCCAGTAAGGTAGGGAATGACTTCTCTCACTTATGTGGTGATTCTCAAAAGCAGAAGGACATGAATGGCAACCATACAGACCAAGACAAAAGTATTGTGGTGCGAAAAAAACGCAAGAGCCAGCAGGCTGGTCCTTCATATACTCAAAATTGTCCTGATAAAGAAAACCAAGGAATCTTAGGATTAAGACAGCATCTAGAAACACAGAGTGAAGACAATGATTCTTCTTTTAGTGACTGTATCTCTTCACCTTCATCTAGCCTACATTTTGGAGACTCTGACACAGTAACTTCTGATGAAGATAAAGATGCTCCTGTAAGACACCCTCAGGCAGTGTTGAATACTACAAGTAGAACTCATGGCACAAGGTCACAAAAGTGGCCTCGGACTGAGGCAGAATCAGTACCCGGGTTATTAATGAAAAGACCCTGTTTTCACAGCAGTTCTTTAAGAAGACTTCCATATAGGAAGAGGTTTGTGAAAACAAGTTCATCACAGCGGACACAGAACCAAAAAGAACGAATTTTAATGCAGAGGAAGAAGCGGGAAGTGTTAGCTCGAAGAAAGTATGCTTTACTGCCCAGCTCTAGCAGTTCCAGTGAGAATGATCTCAGTAGTGAATCTTCTTCCAGTTCATCTACTGAAGGGGAAGAAGACTTATTTGTGTCACCTGGTGAAAACCACCAAAACAGTACAGCTGTTCCTACAGGTAAAACTAAATTCCTGAGGTACTTTTTATTAATGTGCTTTCATCATGTACAATATGCTTTTTCTAGAAGTGCTTTGCAGCAGTGGGAATATTGTGGGAATAATAATTCAGTCTGGTTTCAGAATGTAGAGATATCTACTAATACCTAATTAACCATGCTTGACAATTTAAAAAGAAAAACAAGAAAAAAAATTGGTCATTGTGACAAGAGTCTGAAATAGGATTCAGTTGAAGGTAGCTTTAGTATTGCAATAATAAGAGACAATTCTAAGACCTGAAGTTGTAGAAAGCAGAGTGTTGTATGTATACCACATGTTTTACCTAGATAAACTCGATGCAGTAATCTTGCAGTTAGTTTATGTGGATGTTTCTCAATGTATTCAAGGGCATGCTTGAATGTTTGGAGTGGGGATTTTTTGGGGGATGTTTTGGGGTTTTTTTGCTTGGGGTTGTTGGGGCTTTTTTGCCATCTACCAATTTCCTTGAACTTCCTTGAATCTTAAATTTGCCAAGTGAAAGGCAGTCCCAGCACTGAGACTAGTAACGTTCACAATGTTGTAGTTGTGCCTTCTGTTCTATCATTTCAGCTTTTTAGAGGGTTTTTTAGAGGGAAGTAGATAAACAGAACATAGCATAGCATTAATCTATGCAACCATGTTTTTTGCGTGGTGACAAGTGTGTTTTAGAGAGTGAAACCATATATCAGACTGTGCTGATCACTCCCCTAAGAAAAAATGACTGATAATACAAGAGCAGGTGTAAAAAAAAAAAAAATAATAATTTAAAAAAGGTAAAAAGTTGTGTATGTTCATGTTAGGGCAGGATTTATACTTGAAGAGAACTGGAGTACTAAAGACTTGATTATTTCTTGTTATCTATTGTAGCAGGAAATAATTTGTGCATTGTTTCTTCATATAATGTTTAAATACAAGAAGTAAAATTTGTAATGCAAAACTCTTGCTTAAGCAGTGCTAGGTGTGCATAAATAACTCTGAAACAGAAGAATTATTGCAGAGCCTTAATTATCTTCATGCATATTTGTGGGGACAGAAATATAATTTTTAAGCCTAAAAAAGTTACATTTGCCATGCATGTTCAAGCATATTGAAGAGTATGATTTGTAAATAATTAATGTATAGGGATATGCATTCATTCATATTAAAAACCAATTTGGGAAACTACTACGTTAACACTTCTGTTTCCAAATTAATAGTTTCTTCTCATTTTCAGAGAGAATGGAGTTTCATGTAACTGTAAAATTATGTAGGACCATCAACAA